TCCCAACGTGGCCGAAATGCTACCCCATTCACCCGGGCAATGGATGCTTTTCTCTATCAAGGCCGATCTAAGCAAGCCCCGAATAGATCGTCCGCACTCAGACGCTCACCAGGGAGCTCCACATATTAACTATTAACATAGAATATTTGAGGGTTGTACGCCGGTGAAGAAGATATAATGGCAAAAGGCTCGAGAGTTTCCATAGACATCCATCACGTCCTCCCCCCTCCCCCACCAAAGTCTAATTCCGGGCCACGCTCCCTCCAGATCCACACTGTGCAGCCCCCCAGGGGAGCTTTCGCTGCCAACTATCCCCAGCTGGTCCCTCACGTCTTCTGCTACGGGGGGGGGACACGTAGTGGACGGCCTTTTCTTGGGAAGGAATTGGGTTTTCCCACCAAAGTGCAGGACCAGCGACGAGTTTGCAGCGGTGGCCGTGTGGCTCCGTGTGGGCCTCGCAGTGTGTATGTGCTGTTTAAAAGGTGAACTAAACAATTGTGCCGGGATCCGCCCAGCTGCGTGATTGACAGCTGGCTCCGCCTATCTAGAGGCTGTACCCGCCTCTTCCCCCGTCCGACCTGCCAGGTCAGTGCTGGAGGATCTGACAGGGGAATGCCTGCAGAGAGCCGTGAGCGGCAGGCTTCCTGCAGGGACAGGATCGAGAAGTGAGCGAGCGACGGTATGCGTTCCCTCACCCCCCTATCTACCGAGATCCACCCAGCTGCGTGACTGGCAGCGAGCTCTGTCTATCTAGAGGGAGTCAGCGCTGGAGGATCGGAGCGGGGGAGAATCCCTGCGGGGAGCCGTGAGTGACAGTCACCTCTCTCTGCAGGGACAAGATCGAGAAGTGAGCGAGCGCCGGTATGTGTTCCCTCACTTCCCCACCTATAGAGATCCACCCGGCTGCGTGACTGGCAGCGAGCTCGGTCTATCTAGAGGGAGTCAGCGCTGGAGGATCGGACAGGGGAAAGGTGGGGGAATCCCTGCAGAGAGCCGTGAGTGACAGTCACTTCTCTCTGCAGGGACAGGATCGAGAAGTGAGCGAGCGACGCTATGTGCTCACCTCCCGATCTATAGAGCCGACCTGCGACAGTCTCATTGCCACGCGTCGGAGATTTTCAGTTCCCCTTTAACCCTATCAGCTGTCTGCTATGGGAGGTCATGTGATCACCTCATCATGGCTGCCTTAGGGTTCACCTGGCTCGGAGGCTAAACCCACCCCCCCCAGCACCCGGAAAGCGGCCATTACTTACAGCTCCAGGATGAGGACCATTTCGGCCTTGCTGGCGAAGACGTCGTACAGCTTCATGACGCTGGGGTGCTCCAGCTGCTGGAGGATGAAGACCTCTCGCTCCACCTGCTCGCGCTCCAGGCCCAGGCGGCTCCCTTTACATTTTCGGGTCTTGATGAACTTCCCCGCGTACAGGGACCCCGTGCTCTTCTCTTTGCATTTCCTCACCTCGCCGAAGTGACCGCTGCAGACAGGAGGAGGAGGAGGAAACCGTCAGAGACACAAG